TTTTTTTTTTTTTTTTTTTTTTTTTTTTGGTGGGTGGGTGGTTAAGGGCGGGGGGGGAGCTTTGATCATGCGATCGGAGGTTGCGAGTGAAATCGAGCCTCATGCAAAGACTGGGCAGAATGTATGTACTCAACCATCTGCCAGTGGTGAGAAAATACAACTTAAGCGGCCAAACAGCGCTATTGAGAACTGCTGAGGTCTTTGCTTTCTAAGTTTAAAAAAAACTACCAACTGTTGCCAGAGCGTATGAGAGGAAGACAGTAGGTTTTGGAGTTTCCACAACTTTCCAGTTATTAGGAGATGAATTCAATTTGGCTTAAAATTAATAAGATGATTAGAAATAATTGGCGTATTTGGAAAAGTAGAAGTAAGTCTCCAGTTTGTGCGGAGGCCATTGGAGAGGGTAGGGAAGGAAGCAACTCACCAGCACCACCCAGGTCGTTAGAAGTGGAGCGCATGACAAGAACCATGGGTGATGGTCGTGGAGAAGGGGAGGTGCAACTGCTGCTGTCCAAGCTCGGGAGAAAGGGACAAGACATTTTGCCAGGTGGTTGTGATGAGTGGCTGTTGATCAATTTGCATCCTCGTGAGCCTTGGCTCATATTCACACCCGATCGCAAATCGCTTCTTCAAGTGTGGAACTATGAAGATGGGAAACAGGTTGCCTCCTGGGTAGTCCCTGGCCGTGTGAATGATGTTCGTGAAGCTGGATTCATCCCGCAGAGAGAGAATTGGATTGCGGTGAGGCGCTGGACAATATATGAAGTGTATGAATGCCAAGGCTCCAACTTGCGGCGTCTAACGCGACTGCAAACAGAAACTGGTGACAGTCACTACACATGGAAAATGGCTGTCCATCAAAGCCTCCCTTGCCTTTTGGCAGGTTTCATCCACAAGGATTTTTTTCTGTGGCACTGGAGCGGCAAATTGGAGAAGGCAAAGTTTGAAGGTCACAATGCAGATGTAAGTGCATTGGTGTTTCATCCGACTGAGGAACAGATCTTTGCCAGTGCCTCAGAGGATAATGTCATCAAAGTGTGGAATTTGGAGAAAAGGTCTATTATTCAAACCCTGAGCGATGATGGTAAACGGCGTATCTACAGGATGGGATTCTGTGGTGGAGGGGAGAGATCACTTCTGATCACATCCCACAAGGGGGACCAAAATGTACGGGTGTGGGACTACAAGAAGGGAAGTTGCATAGCACGATGGAAAGCACACGATAAATGCCGGGCGTCCCTCTTCCATCCCCACTTGCCGTATATAATGACTGCAGCAGTGGATGGAGAGATTAGAGTTTGGAGTGAGTCAAGCTACCAGCAAGTGTCCTCTCTTTCCATTGAATGCCATAAAGATGGGATTCTCAGCATGCTCCCAAGTAAAATTTATAGTAAGCTCATTGTTGCAGGTAGAGGTGAATTCCATGTCGTGGAGGTTGAAACAGGAATTTCAAAGGGAGACCAGAAAAAGGACGAGCAGGAGCAAAAGGGATCTCCTTGCGCGAAAGATTTTCATGCTTCTTCTTCATCAATGGCTGTTGTGGTCAATGAACCAGCAGTGGTATCAAGAAAGGCAATGGAAGAGATTGGGCAGAAGGTGCTTGTCAAGGTCAAGCTTCAGCTCGAAGAGAAAATTAAGGAAGGTGTAGCAATGGTTGAGCAGCATTGCAAAAAAGCAGTTGATGCAGTGATGGCAGAGCATCGGAGAAAGGAGAGAACCCAAGCGGAGATAGTGCAACAACTCCAGAGCGAGATGATGAGGACATGTGAATCATCAAAACGGCAGATGCAGGAGGTGCAGAGACTGACACAGAGGGTCCAGCAGTTGGAGGAAGAGATTCAAACAATGACAGGGAGATTTGAAACGTCCAAACGGGGGATTCAGGAGGTGGAGCAAACACTGGCAGAGGAGATCAATAGGCGAAATGCGGCAGAAGAATGCACAGCACATTTAGCTGAAAGGATCTGCAAGCTAAAACACAAGTTAGCAGAAGAGGTGGCGAAACGGGAAAGGGGAGAGGCATCTCTAACACATGCGTGTGATGTTTGCTCTGCGGGCACTCGTCTGTTGAAGGAGTACTCTTTCGAGGAGCTCCAACATGCAACTGATAATTTTGACGTAAAGCGGAAGTTTGGGGGTGGGGATCAGTTTGAGAATACTTACCTGGGGACGCTACGAGATGGTAGTCTTGTTACGGTGAGAAAGGTGAGAGATGCAAGCACGCAGCTCAAGACGGAGCTTGTGGACAGAGTGAGAGCTCTCCGCCATCCCCATCTCCTGACCTTGGTAGGAGTCTGCTACGAAGGGAGCTGCCTGGTTTACGAGTACATGGAGCGCGGGAGCTTAAAGGACTGGATCTCACATCATGATGAAGAAAATGCGGCAAGAGGGTTCCTTCCATGGTATTCCCGCTTTCACGTAATGGCTGAGGTTGCTCGGGCACTGTGCTTCCTGCACTCAGTTCCGTCGGCATCCGGTGGTGGTCCCATCATACATCGGGCCATCAAGCCAACCAACATCCTGCTGTCTGACAGCTTTGTGGCAAAGATCTGTGGTGTGGACGAGGCGATTCTTGACACAGACTCTGCCGGAGAGGTCCAACAGGGAGAGGATCCCCTGGGGGTATCCACAAACAGGGAATCCCGCTATATTGCCCCAGAGTATTTGCATCAACGAGTTCGTAGTGAGAAAATGGATATCTATGCGTTCGGCATCACTGTCTTGGAGATGCTGACTGGAAATCTATCAAACGCATTTGAAGTCGTTGAAGATGCAATTGAGGATCACACCACTTTCAAGAATGCTTTGGATCGAAATGCGGGCTGTTGGGATGTTGACCTGGCTTGCGAAGTGGCAATGCTGGGGTTGCGCTGTGCAAGTTTTAACAGACGCAAAAGGCCGGACATGACAGAACCTGAAGTAGGCATTCTGGCAGTCCTTGAGGGAGTTGCGAGGAAGGTAGACCTTGCACAGTCTGTGAAGGGTGCATAGAAAAACCTGGGGCCAGTCTTTCAGCTATATGGATTAAATTTGCAAATTGCAACGAAAAAAAGGGGAATTGGGGTAAGGTAAGTGAAAGTTTTGGCATGTCTAATGGAATTGGCTCTTCCTGAACACACCGCAGGGGCTTAAGGGATGTGGTTGCATGCCTATGCAGAAAACGATAAGTTGCAAACTGTATGACATTGTTTCTCCTCCTGCTGTCTGAGAGTCTGTCTTTTGTCTGCTCAGCATGATGCAATGAAATGCAATAATTCCAGATCTTATCTGATAAGGTAAGCCAGGTTCTTGTTCACTGGATGCAGAATACAATTCGCTTACCGGCTTCTGTTCTGGTCATGTCCAATTTTTATCAGACAGTTTCAGATCAGACCGCTTGAGCAGCAGCAATTCACTTCGATTATTGTCACGTTGTCAAAGCGACGATCCGGTGAGTCAGAAGCTGGGATTGAGGAGGCAAAACCAAGCTTACACTTCACTTTGCGGCTTTCGGATTGTAGATGAATTGCTCAGGTTGCTTTGTATGTGTGAGGAATGAGCCATCAGATGCATTGGGGCCTTGCCGACATGCACATGTTCTGGGCATAGGCCCCCAGCAAGCCTTGTGCCCACCCTAAGTGAAGGCGGGCCAGACCTGTGACCGCCCTAAGTGAAGGCTGGTCAAGATATCCACGAACAAGGCCTTTCTTTCAGCATTTTCGTAAAGTGGGTATCAGACAGTTGCAGCACGCCAGTTGGTTGGAGTGCATCGTGAATCCCAGACTCCTGCGTGAAGCAGTTGAGCCCAGGGCCTCAGTTGGTTGAGCCCTGGGCACAAGCCAGGGGMGGCCGACACATCACAGAYTGGATGTCGGCCAATGGGAAAGCAGCATTGCCRCCGTAGACCAATGGGAAAGCAGCATTGTCGTCATTGAGGCCGAGCAGACCCTGGGGAAAYTGGGAAAGGTCTGCATCTGGACGACGGCCCTGGTACAAGGGGCGCAACTGTACAGACCAGGCCACATCGGGACTGGGCCTGGGCGCAGGGTCTGGGGCTGATACSCAGGCTCAAGRCAGGCCGCCCACACGCAGCATTGRCATATAGGCAGAGTGTGCGAGTGGGCAGGGATCCTTGGCCAATGYAGGCATTGCCGGCACGCTGCGCAAATGCGAGTGTGCATGCGCTGTGTAAARCTGCGTTGCGCRTGRGGGAGGCAGGCCAGYGSTAGGCGGTAGGGCGCTGCCTGCACTCAGGGCACTGGSGGCCATAGCCTGGGCYGCAAGAGGGTGCAGTGGAGGTGAAGGGCGAAGGTGGTTCTTTGGAGGTGAAGGGCGCTGTGGGTAATCAAGGGAGAGTGTGGGTGAAGAGAGGACGTACCTGGTGGAGAGAGACTCSGCATTGGTGTTGACGTCATCACTCGCAGGTCGTCAAGTTGTCTGGYTGCTTTCATGCTGTAGTCGTAGAGATAGGCAGTAGTGTAGATAGGGCRCCTRGCGYTWTTCATGAGAGWGAGCTACATTGGGTTATGCTGTTGGTRTTGCCCGATTGGGCATGGACATTGACTCACGATTCTGTTGTATCATTCTCAATTGGATGGTTACTGGGTTCCATTGTGCTATCTGCTCATGCTTTGACTACATGGACATCAGTGTGATTTTGCA